TCTTGTAACCTTAAAGCAATATCATTCTGCACTTTTTGATGTCAACCGGCTCATTGAGTTGAATCCATCTTCAGAAGTGTACAGAAATCTTCAAGCACGTTTGAAGACACAAATGGTACTTCATCATTTTCTTCACCAAGTGTTCTTGGTCTTATATTTGAGCTTTGCTTTTCGTGAGACCTGTGTTATTTCTTTTGCATCTCTGAGATTGCTTTCTTTTTTCTTTTCTTTTTTTCCCCTTTTAGGTATATATAATGCTAATTCTTGCATAACTTCTTCTTCTTCTTCTTCTTCTTCTTTTTTTTTTATATTTTATTATTATTATATGGATTCCTTTTAACTGACTTGAATTTGCTTGAATAATGTTGACTGGATAAAGTAGTTGTGGCCATATTGTGGTTTCCATTTGTTCAAACATTTTCCTGTCAATATTTTACTTCTTCACTGAAAAATGTGTTGTTTTGTTCAAGGAAAGTCACTTGCCCCGATACCTGAAGATGAAGCCGAGTGTGAAGAAGATGATAGTGACATAGACGAAACAGAACTCGAGAACAGCAATGAAGGAGGAGAAAAAGAAGATGACGGCAAAAAGGCTAAAGATCGAGCAGCCATAGAAAATGGCGGACAACATAATGCCGTAACAGCAAACAACATAAAAAATAGTTATTTTGAAAAAGTCAAATTATCATCCGAAGAATCACCCTCCCGGAACCAGATCGAGCAAGGACCCCTCAATCGACAGGCCTCAGGCTGGCAGACTATCCCAAAACCGAAAGGGCATTCCCATCTTGACTACTCGAGGTGGGACCGCGTTGAAGACGAGTCGAGCGAAGAAGAAACTGACGATGATGATGAAGATGACGATTGTCACCCTCAGTACCGGTTTCGTGTTAAGACAGTTGGTGTGAAGGCGGTAAAGTAAGTGGGGCCCAAGATCCGGAATCGAATTTGATGAGGGTACTATCGCTCGTTTTTGGTGGTATATGCCTGTCATTTGAAGCTTAGAGGTCTCCTCTCTATCTGTTGACATGGCTTTTGAAAATATTAGATACATTATACATCACATCAACATCAACATACCCAGTATATTTCCATCATATCAACATCAACATACCCTTGTAATTATACAAGGAGGCTGTTTTCATATCAAATATAATTATGGGTCTCTGGATATGCGTGCTGGCTGCGACTTTTATCAGTCATCAATGCACATGACCCTTTTTTGCTTCGTTTTGTTTTGTTGTTTTGAGTTTTAGTATTGTACACAGGTGCTTAATGCAAATGGGATTTATGCCCAGCATACTTGCACGTTTCTACTTTGTTATTGGATTTACAAGCATACAATCCATGTAGTGGTGGTGTTGATGGTGAAAGATATTTATTTTGGCATTAGTTCGAAGGTTCTAACAAGCACCTGGAACTACAGAAACAGGGAAGATCTTTACTTATTTGTTTCCTTAATTACGATTATTTTCTATTCCATAAATAAGATATTCTGGATCTTATTATGGTACTTTGATTTGTAGGAAATCGGATGAGATAATGAAGGAAGAGGCGTGTATGACAAAGAGATCAAGGAGAGAGAGAAGAAGATTCACTTACCATATTCTTATGCTATAAACAAGGAAGGAAATCAAGGTTGGAGTCCTATGCCTTGTAGAAGACTCCAACCCTAAGGAGATTCTTTTAAATACCCGTATGCAAGCTCTCATTGCGGCTGCTGAGTCTTGAAGATATATAGAGCAATAATTGAGCTTCGTGTATTCGATTTTTTATTGAGTTGTACACAGTTCAGTCTGAGAGTTCGAACTAGCTCAAGGACTGAAGCTGGTTTATTTTGTTCTTTGTGTTTCATCCTAAAACTATTTTACAGCTTATACACTTAGGGAGTAAGTGTAGGTTTTTAAAAGTCCACGGGACGTGGCCGGAGAATTAGTTGATAGGATCTGTGTAGTGTTGGCTAGGCTTGAAGGGAGTTCGAGTCGTTGTAAGTCCAAGCTATGTATATGGTTGATCTACCAATGAAAGAGCTCTGAGGGGAAGTGGGACGCTTCCCTGAAGAGTTTTAAAATCTTCGGTTTATTGCTTCCGCTTTTTACGTTGTTTACTCACGTTCGTACTACACTTCGCGCACTCGCAAGTAATTATACGTTTCAGATGGTGTAACACAAATGGTATTCGACGATCAAAAAGCTCCGGTCGTTTGAGCTGAAAAGGTTTATAAATGTTGAATTTGTTTGGTATTTCTTCTAATAGTTACAGTGGCGGGTTTCCTTGGTTGTTCCATTGATTACAGAATACACACTATTCACTGAACTTTACCGTTAGCTATTGCCTAGTTCTACATGTTACGGCTTGAGTTGGCCACGGGCTGCCCGGCCCGGTCAAGCCCGTTGATCACAGGCTTGGGCTTAGCTCGTATTTTAATTGTCCGGTATTTTCGAACAATAAATTATTATTTAAAACATTCATTGAATATATTTTAGCTAAAAAATTTATGTAGGGAGGATAATTGTCAATTTTTTTTTTATCCCACTCAAAAAATACAAGAAAAGAAAAAAAAAATATTTAGAATAATCTATATATATATAAACAGATTTACCATTTTTTAAGAATAGTAAGTCAATTTATGGTCAACACTCTTTCTGCATTTATTGCTTTCTTTTAATAGAAAGTTTTATTTGAAAAAATTTCAAAAATGTGATAAGATTTTTTTTGGAAAAAATTCAAATATGTGATGAGATATTTTTTTAGATAGGATACATCAACAAAATCTCCTATTTCCACGGAACATATATTTACTAATCAAACAATTTTAAAATTAAGAGATTGGGATCAATAAAATCTTCTAATGAATGTTTATTGGCACGCGATTTAGTATAACTATTTTTGTGGAACTAATTAACCAAAAAATACATTTTTTTTCTTTTTTTTTTAAAAAAAATCTTATCTTTTTTTTTTTTCAAATTTCCCCTTAAGATCAGTTTCACATTATTAGCTCTCATCATAAACTTGAATATACACCCTATAAATATTCAACATGCTAAACCCATATTTAACACTTTACCCGCATCTTTAAAAGTATTGTTCCAAAAAACAAAAACACCACCAATTGACATGGAAAAACCCTTCGGTATCATTAATGACGTTGAAAGAAACAAGAAATGCCCGTTAAAACTTCGTGTGGCTCGTATGTTTGAGCGCGAGTCTCCAAATCTTCAACACAACATATTGAAGATCCTCTTCAAGATAGGGAGATATTTTTTCTATTTATTTTTTTTATTACGAATATAACTACATACAAAAACATTTTGTTTAATCGTTCTTTGTTTGTATTTGCAGGGCGTACACATCGTAGGTTTGGTACGCAATGTTCATATTCAAAAGATAAGGGAAGAACTGGAGGAAGGCCGTATCTATTTTATTCGTAATTATGAATTGGATAGTAATTGATATGCCTGATATTGTTTTTAGGATAGTTTACAGAAACAAATAATCCCTTAATTGAAGGGATTTAGTATTCAAAATACACATTATCCAAAATAATTTGAACGATTCTGTTGAGGGATTCTACATAATTCAAATAATAAAAAATCATGATGTGTTTAACGATTTTTTTGTACTAATATATATATATGTATAAAGAGACAACCTATTTACCAAAAATAGTAAAAAAAAAAGTCAACAAACATTTATTACATTATATTTTTGACAGTTTTTATTTATTTCTTTAAATTATTCCTAAAAATCAATCAACTATATATGTACCTTAAATTAATGGGCTTTTGTGGATTTAATGTAGATAAAGTTCGATTGTGCTTACAATTTTACAAAAGTCAAAATTATTTCTCATTTTTTATTTAAAAAAAAGGATTACCATAAAATCAGGAATTTCGAATAAGGCAAAATAATCACATATATCTTTTACTAATTGCAAGAGACTGATTGTTTATTAAAAAAAAATTGAATTGCATAGAATCAGGTTAAATTATGTAAAATTCGGCATGGCAATTTTGTAAATATAAAAAAATTTGTTTACCATAAAATCGTAAATTTCAAATTAGGTAAAATACTATAACATGTATATTTACTTAATTGCTAGAGATCATGTTTATTAAAAAAAAACGGATTGCATCTAATCGGGCCCAATTTCAAATTAAAAATTAAAATCTCTTATGATTTGGCTATTACTTTCTTTAGTTCGGAATTTTTATACATAAAACAGAGTGAGATAATATTAATTTGCAACTCAAAATTAAATTGGATTGGAACAATCTAGAAATTTAGGTTTTGTTTAATTATCTATAATACAAATTTGAAATTGATTGCATACACTTGAAAAATAAATAATGATTGCATACACTTATAAAATTTCATATATAAATATATCCTGCTAAATAATTAATTGATTTATTTAAGCTTATCTCGAATCCTAATATAATTTATGGTGATAGACGATGTACCAAAAGACTAAACAAATAATATTGTATACAATGATGTGTTTAATGATATATAAGTTACATTTTGTTTATTCCAATACATGCGTTTTACGTTCTTCCAATTATCCAACCATCCAAATCTAAATGTCTATCTAAATAACACTAGCTCGTGCATCGCACGGGTACCACACTAGTTGTATGGGAAAAAAGATCCATTGAGAGGGAAACTCCAAAAATTTGAAACATCACGAATACACTTTTTTATATTCCCACAAACAAATAATAACAAAAAGCAAAACAAATTTCAAAAAAAAAATATTCTTAATCTATAGTTCGTCTTCGCACAATCCTCCGACGACGTCAAACGTCGTCTCCCCGATTTCCTCCTTTTATCTACCGCAGCACAATCTGCGGCCTCGCGCACCCGGAGGCAGATGGCGCACGACGGCGGCGACGTAAATTTGGTGGGGCCGGACTTCGACCTACCCGACGAGGTTCTGGCGGTCATACCCACGGACCCGTACGAACAACTGGATCTGGCCCGCAAGATAACGTCCATGGCCATCGCGTCGCGCGTGTCGAAGCTCGAGACGGAGGCCAGGAGCCTCCGCCAGAAGCTCAACGAGAAGGACCGCCTCGTTGAGGAGCTGGAGGACAAGGTCTCCCAGCTCGAGGGCGCGTTCCAAGACGCGGAGCTTCGATTGAAAGTCACTCACGAAGATAATGTAATTTATCAATTCCATGAAGTTCTTGAATTAAATTAAATCCTTGTTTTTTTGTGTTTCTTTAAGTTGAATTGTGGTTCTTCAAAATTGAATTACAGATGAAGCTTTTGAAGGAGAGGGATTCCTTGGCTTCCACCACAAAGAAGCTCAGTCGTGACTTGGCCAAGGTATTATCTATCTCTTGTATTCTCACTTTAAATTATTATTGGGAGAAGCATAAATGCTGAGAAGTCTACTCTTTCTTTGTTTTTCGAGGGCGTATTCGTTTAGGATTTCGGGTGAACTTTAAGATTTTTGGAGATCTGAGACATTTTAAGATTTTGAAATTAACAGAATTTCTTGCAAGTCTTGTTAGGTTTGGAGGTAGGATTTGGCATGGAATTTCGTATACGGTTTTTGTTTATGAAATCTCAAAGAATTTTAAAAAGTCCTAGCAAATTCTAGTTTCAAGTAAGTTACTAAATACCTCGTGATTTATTAAGACCTTTTGCAATCTCAAATGAATAAAAATTGTGACTTTTTAAAGTCTTAAAAAGTTCAAGTTAAAATTTCAAATTGTATGGTAGTTTGGTCATAAATTTGGGAACATGTTTGGAAGCAAGAAGTGTGTATACATATCCCAATTACTTTACGTCGTTGAAAAAGGATATTATGCTCTTATGGGACACTTAAGGTACATTTAATCATTAGTCTTGATCTTTGATTACCTTGGGATGGTAAGATTTCTGCCCTTAAACAAACTGTGCAAAACTAGAAGTCACACCAAAAACAGTTAGTAACTTTTTACTATCTATGTGGGTTCATGTCTACTTTGCTGGTTGAAATTGATGGAACTCTGCTGTCTTTTGTTTAGTGGCATGCCAAGTTATTGATGATTTTGTAGTCGTGGTTTTCTTGAAATTGTAACTTTAAAGAGCTGCTCTCATATTTGCATATGTTTCCCTTGTTTCAATTCCACCTTCACTACACTTGCAGTTATGACAATAGTGTAATAGGTAACTTGGCCTGGAATGCTCATCCTTCATTATTTTGGAATGATTTGATCAATTGAAACTTTCTGTTTCTTACTTGAGGTAAGATCTAATGTTTTCGCTTTTGACAGCTCGAGACATTTAAGAGGCAATTGATGCAATCATTGAATGAAGAAAATTCATCGGTACAGCTCACATTTTCATCTTATTATTTAATTTGTTTATTTTGTTTCTATTTGCCACAAAATCAAGATTGTTGTCAAAATTTGCTCCCTATGGGCGTATTGTTCAAGACTAAACATTTCGAATTTTATTGGCCCAGCAGACAGAAACGGTAGATATCGGTACTTACGACCAAACAGTGCTCAAGACCGATAGCACAAACATAAATGATGAAGGTATATTACCTTGAAAGCTAAAAACAGGTTGTCATATGATTAAATTGTTGTATTGAATATTTTTTTCTTTTGGCCCAAAGTCTCGAAGCAGGCCGGGCATAAATTTTCGATCACGCCATACATAACCCCTCGTCTCTCACCCAACGGGACCCCAAAAGTAGCTTCGACCAGCGTGTCCTCACGAAGGTACACAGCTGCTAACTCCCCCCAGAAGGCCTCGGGAGCCACTACCCCTACAAAGATGTACGAGGGGAAAGCCTCTTTGTCATCATGGTATCCGTCCAGTCAGCAGTCATCTGCTGCCAACTCCCCTCCTCGGGGGCGCCTGCCGCCAGGTTTGCGAATATTTTTAGAATTATTTTTGGTTAAATCACAAAACTGCCTGAGGCTTAGTTTAATTACCAAAATCTTTTTCCGTCATTTTGGACAGTTATTTTGAAGAAGCTTATTATTCCACAGATGCTCCGCCTCAGTCGTTGTAATTTGTAATTAAAGCAAATGTGGAGGAGACATTTGGGATTATAAAAGAGAAAATATTTTCTCCTCTCCTTAAATTAGACTGAACAACCAAATGTTTAATTTTCGTCGTTAAGAAAGATGTCCATTTGATTTTGTTCCTAGGTTGATATACGGGCAATTTCTTTGTAATAAATTAGATGTCAAAGTTCATCCACTATGATTCCTTACCCAAACCGTTAATTCTTGATTTCCTAATTTTGTGGCCGCCAATAAAATTTTAGGTCGCACTCCTCGAATTGATGGAAAGGAATTTTTCCGTCAAGTCAGGTTAGTTTGATCACTTGTCATTATGTTAGACGCTAGTGTTGCTACAAATGTGCCAATGGTTGCTTTGTCTTACAGTTAGGCTTCCTGGTTTTCGTTTTGTTAATGTGAAATACAGGAGTCGGCTATCACTCGAGCAATTCAGCTCTTTCCTTGCGAATATTAAGGAACTAAATGCACAAAGGCAATCTCGCGAGGTGAGATAGATATTCAATGCTAATTAGCGTGTTGGTATATATATTTATTATTCGGTTTGCTTACTCTTTAGCTTTTCATGCCTTCAGGAGACCTTGAGAAAAGCCGAAGATATTTTTGGAATGGAAAATAAAGATCTCTACATATCATTTCAAGGGTTGCTAAACCGCAACATGCACTAGGAAGTGTTCTCTTGCAAGCAATATCTGTGGTTCAGTCTCTAGGTCTTTTAAGGTTTTGTGTTTACTGACTCGTGTACGCTTCTTCTTTTTTCTTTTTGGTCCTTTTAAGCAGGGCCATTTGAAAAATGGTATTCGGTAAATGTTAATAAGATATTGGTTGCATTTAGACATTCCTTGCAGAACCTGTTCAAGACTTGTGCAGGTACTATTGCTCGAACTTGATGTAAATAATGGCATTTTATATTGTCGTCGTTAGCTGTTACTCTGTTCTAGTGGCATTTGGTTGAGAATTGTTTTGTACTAGTCCTTGATGCTTGTTTACGAGCACCTGTAATGTACATGAAATATTGGATAGGTGAATTCCAATGCGAAGTGACTGAAAAAGTTCTTAAAGAGACATGTAGCATCTATTATAGTTTTGGCAAACCTTTTGTTATTTGTGGACTTGACTTTTCACTTCATCCTTTTAATAATAAGAGTATGCTTTTTACTCATATATTCATTTAACAATAAAATTCATTATTTGGGGGATATTACTGTTTGTTACGGAACAATTCCGTCAGGGTTTGTAACCGTTAAATCAACTATTTCGGATGGTTACATGATAATCTAAATTTCATCCCAACTATTTCGGATGGTTACATGATAATCTAAATCCCGATGAAATGGATACATAACGGGACCGTAATCCACTTTTACAAATCATCTAATGCTTTCACACTATGATAACGTTCATATTTATTAACTCAATACCAAACATCCAACTACTTTGTTATAATAGGTACTCACATGGGTTTAACAGCTACTTCAGCATACCACTTCTATTAGCAACTGATGTGTGCCCTTAATTTTTTTTATTTTTATTTTTTATTTTTTTTTATTTTTATTTTTTTAACATGTAGGAAGACTTTTGGACGCCTTGTATTTGATTTATTATTATTTTCTCTAATTAATTATTAATTATCACATGTCAAATTATATCCTAATTTGCATTAACAATTGGTGATGATATAACACTCACATTAGCTCGCAGACTGGTCAGAGTGATTAGTACGGGTTTACCGCTAAGAGGCAATTCTTAGCTCGAGTAGTTTGATATGAAAGATTTAGAAGAAGTTGGACACATTCTCGGTAATACGACACTGTGATAAGAGAATGTTGCACTTATCCCAACCTTCGTACATAGATATTGTCTTGACTCGTTTTAACATTCAAGAATTCGAGAAAGAGTTCTTAACTTTTTGGCATGGGATCCGACTATCCAAGGTCTGAAAAGATAGAGGACAAGAGAGGGATTTCTTATGCATTGCCAGTAGAAAGTCTAATGTATGTTATGCTATGTACGAAGCTTAATATTTGTTATGTGGTGGACATGGTGAGCGGGTAACAAAGTAACTCGGGACATGGTCATTAGGTCATCGTGAAGCATACATGGCTAGTCTACCGATTGGACCAATTGATCCATGCGGTTACACATATTCTGACTTCGAGTCAGACTGGGACTAAAGTAAATCTACATCAGGGTTTGTGGTTATTATGGGAGGTGGAGTTATAGTATGACGGAGTGTCAAGAATAAGTGCTTGGTGGATTCTGCCATGGAAGTCGAGTACATCGCAACTTCTAAATCAGTGAAGGAACTGGTATAGCTGAGGAACATCTTGTTGTCCTTAGATGTGGTGTCAAGTTTGCCACGAGGTATTACAGTTTACTGTGGTAACAGTGGTGCAGTAACAAACACGAAGGATTTACAAGCCCATAAGACGAGTAAACACTTAGAGCGCAAGTACCACCTGATACGAGAAATCGTTGGAAGGAAGAAGTCGTGGTTGCCATGATAACATCAACAAACAACCTCGCAGATCCTTTCAAGAAGAGTCTACCAACGAAGGTCTCTAACAGACATGTGGAAAGAACGAGAGACATATATTCGGCGATAGGATCGACGTAGATATTTAAGATGTATGCAAGAAAAAACAAAAGCTTTAAGTATAAGTGAGAGATTTTTTAAAGTATATACTGAAAGCTTGGCCTTTTGCATTATTTACACTATTTTCTGTTGAATTAAAATCATATTTAATTAAATAGTTCTATGTTATGATGTTTTATATTTGAATAATTATGGTCCATCAAGGATGTATAGAAGACCATATTATTGGTTACTTGTAAAACATAAATAATTAATTCACAACCTAAATGGAAATGAACAACTCATCTTGAACGGTTGTAGTGTAATTTGGATTGGTTAGTCTTGATTGATAAATTATACTAGTACATCCCGGATGTATTGAACGGGTTTCAGAGAGGATAAATTTGTTTTATACTAGCCGAGTAGACGAATTAGACTGCAATTAATTACTTCGTGCTCTAAACATGTAAGATAATAACATGCACGTTCACACAATAGCTGCTACTTTGATTCAAAAAATGAGATCCATTGTCATGGATTAATAGTCTAGGTGAGTTGGGGTAGTGATGTTGTGTTGTTCAATTTTATTTACCGTTACCGTGTGCCTTAGTCTAATGACTCTTCAAAGTGAGCTCAAAAAAGATTATTATGTTAAGCACTGTGGCGGATTGAGTTCCGACATAATAAAAAAAAAATTGTAAAGTACTAACTTTGGTTCAAAAAGTCAATTAATGATCTTATTAGTAATTAAATTAATTGATGAACCCTATATCTTAAACACAAGGAGGTAAATTGAGTAATTATAATTTGAGCCTTAAATATAATTTGAGTGCTAAATAGGGAGTACAATAAAATTTTTTTAATGGACAAAAATATTATTCAAGTATGAGCTGATTGGGTCATACTCGCAGTTAGGCCCATACTTAGGGAAGCCATATTTAGCACATTTCTTAAGGTTCCTACTGTAGCCTATAATACACCTCTTCTTTTGGGAGTTCCACACGCCTAAGACACGCGGGAATCATATCGCATACGGATTTGAGAGTTTTGGAATCCCAGTCGAGATATCTATGAAATCGTCGCCCACCAAGACGAACAAAGGAGGTGTCTGGTCATACAACAAAAGTTTTGAGGTAACTCAATACATTGGCCACCACATGACCCGCGCATCCCCAGCGACCACCATGACCTGCAGCCACACTCCCGTATCCGAATAATGTCGCACGCAAAGCCAGCTGCAGCGCAGCGACTGCGCGACGCACGTTGCAGTCGAGCGGCCGTCGCACGACGCCCGACCATTGCAACACTCACGGCGCGCGACTCTTGCGACCAGCGATTAGACGCACAAGTGAATGAGGAGGACGGAGGTGAGAATATCATCTTAGAATTGTTCGTTTGGCTCCGTATGTCATGTAGTCATCTCAAAGTCTGCAAAATTTTTAAACCGTAAGTGTTCAACCCTTGCTTAGTACCACTGCGCTTAGGTTTACTTTTGTATATTAAATTTGTGACTTGCACGAATTCGATGTTTCTAATAGAACCCAACAGGAGGATGGTATGGTCTTTACTCTTCTTTTGCACATCCCCAACGTCAAGCATGACGAAGTCTACAAGCGATGAACTTTCCAACTCTCACGAGGACATCTTCCACGACCCACATCGAATACCCAATTGAGCGGTCAGCGAGATGTAAACAAATCCTCATTGGTTACAGATCTTCTGAGATGAGCTCGACTTTTTACCCAGCAATCAGAGTTGACTCGTACTTCATGTTGTTATACCGAGCTTCTTGACGAAGGTAGGCTTTGCTACCAATCTAAAACTATCACCGACCGGTTAATCCGAGCTAACCAGTCACCGAGCTATTATGGATGCTACATAGTGCCATTCTAGGAAGATGTATTTGTTAGACCGTTAATCTATTATGTTGATATATATTTTAAATATAAATAAGTTTTTATTAAAAAAATATCATATTTTAAACAATATACAAATATATTTTTGTTGAGAAATGCTATAAGTACATATTATTATACATAGATGTGTACATGGCACTCAAATTGAGTGAGACCTATCAAAAAAATAAAAAATAAAACAATCCACTCAATTTCAGTGTGAATTCTAGGAATTAATTTGATAATTTTATAATATTTAAGTCCCAAATCGAGATAAAAAAATTTTTAAGTTCCCATTTGATAGTTTACCAAGTGTTGTATAGAAAAAACTCAGTTCCATTTTTGTTTCCGTGACTCAACCGACATATGTGTTCTACTAATGTCCATCAGTTTATACCACCGCTGAATTGAAGAGTCTTCTCATTTTTCTCGTGGTTTAATTATTTCGTCTTCCTGAATTCCTCTCAATCTTTCTTTTTGGTCGTTCGGGGTCGTAAAGATGGCAGCTGATCTGGAGAAAGAACGGTTCTTGCAAGAGTTTGGTGAAGATTATGGCTATCCTAACGCACCCAAGACCGTCGATGAGATAAGAGCCACTGAGTTTAAGAGATTGAATGGTTTGAACTTTCTCCTTAATTTTCTTCTTGAGTTTTAATCAATATAGTTCACTTCTCGTGTGCTTCAGGAGCTAGCGTCAGTAGCATCCTCTTTTTTTTTTTTTTTTTTTTTTTTTTTTTTTTTT